TCGTCGGGGATTTTCGGGGGCCTCGCAGGGATCTGGGGTGTGTTGGAGGCCTCTGGGGCATCCCGGAGTCCTCTCGGTCTCTGGCGGCCTCCTGTCCCCGCTCTTGGGTTCATCTTGGGCCTGCTCGAGGGTGGTCTGGAGCTGTCCAGGGCGCCTCTTTGGCAGTCTTGGGGCCGTTTTGGCCCTTCTTGGGGCCGTCTTGGGGGCCTTTTGGGCGGTCTCGGGGCTATCTTGGCGGCCTCTTCGGCCGTCTTGGAGCGTTGGAAGCATGAAATGGTGAGAAGGCCGAAAAACCTTGAAACAAAAACAATGAAACTTAACGATTCTAGGTTCTCCGGGCACTCTCGGGAGGCCTCTCGGAGCTCTCTTGAAGTCTTTAGGAAGCCTCCTGGGGGCCTGGAGGGCCGCCCGAAAGCTATCCTGGGTTGCTTGGGAACGTTCTGGGCCTTTCTTTGATGTTCTGGGGGCTTCTTGGGATCGTCTTGGGCTGTCCTTGGGCGTTTTGGGGCTCCCCGGGAGGTCGGGAAGCGCGGTACCGCGAGCGTTCCGCAGATGTTCCGTGAAGGTGTGGGACCCCCAGGAGGGGGCGCGCATTTGCTGAATTCGAAAAGCAATGAAAAAGAGATCTCTGCAATTTTCATTTTTTTTTTTTCCGAATTCCTCGGTCTTGGAGCGTTGGAAGCCGGAAATCGTGAGAAGGCGAGAAAAGTCGACACGAACCTCTGAAAATCAACGTTTTTACCATCTTCGAGCTCTCTCGGGACGGCTCTCGAAGCTCTCATGGGCTGTTTTGGGGGCCTCATCGGAGCATTTTTGGGGGCCTCGCAGGGATTTGGGGTGTATTGGAGTCTCCTGACAGCAAAACCATCTCCTCTCGCGATGCCATTGCGCCAATGGCGCCCAGGCGTCGGCCGCGCAGCCAGGCGCTCGGACTTCTTGACTGCAACACCTCTAGCGATAGGCGGCCTGGCATCCGCATTGTCGTTGAATGCTGGAAGTGCCTTTTGCGTGATGACTCGAATCTGCGCCCCCATTCACGGCGCGCGTGGGTCTGGCTGCCAAGAAAGCCCCGCCACGTTGGCAACCTCCTCGATGTCCCACTTTTCATGATCAGTCCCCTTGCTCCTGAACCCGCCTGGTTTAGCGACTCCATGAAGCGTCCCATGTGTTAACTCCGGGCTGGTGTCGTTGGTTCCCAAATATACTCCCCTTTCCTACGGTGCTTTCTTGGGTCGCGTTGTCAAGTGCATCCCCATAACTCCGGGGCTGGTTTGTTGAACTTGCGATCCCGCATCTCTCATGAGGGAGGTTCACCATCGGTATCGATCGTGAACGTGAAGCTGATCGGTGACGCATACGGAAGTAACCACGGTAGCAAAGCATGAGAATCGCTGGATTCCGTCTTGTAGTTGTTACGAAGCGCGTTTTTGAGAGTTCGCCTATGTCCTAAAACTGTCCTGAATATTCTCTCAGGGACGCCGTTCGCTTGTGCATCTCCTACTGGGCTTACGTCTACTCATATGTTAATATCAATTGCTCCTTGGACTGTTTCCTTCAAGGCCGTTTTCGACGACCCACATCATTTTTCAAGATGATTTGTTTGCGCCTGGTAAACAGGGCAATTGTACTATCACGGAGCAGGGGCCCAAATCATTTTTCAGGACAGTATTTGGTAACTCTGCTTCGCCCCCCCCAAAAAAAACATCTTCCACGTCGCTCAACCCACTGCCCCCGTCGTCGTCATCGTCGCCCGCCTCTAAAACTGATATATCTTGACCAGTGGGGTTTGCGGGATTACCTCGATCTAAGACAACAAATCGGCTACTGGGGTTCCATGCCTGGGAAACCATTGTCGCTTGATTCCTTCACTTCGTGCACTTTTCTACCTTCCTCTTCTCCTTTACCTTTGGGTACTCGAATGGTGCACTGGAGATTGCCGTTGTTCTCCAGGATGGCGGTCCTGCTTCCAGCAGCTTTGTGCTCCAGGTTGCTGCAGCACTTCCACCGCGAGCCCCTATCCAAGAAGTGCACGCGGTTGCCTGCTTCGACCATGTCACGTGTCAGTATCTTTGTTTTGTGGGACATGAAACACACATTCGGTGGCCCGACTGTGTTGTCAGCTCCAAAGTCGACGGGCCTTACACCACCTGTTTGACCCTACCCCCCACTTTCGTGAGATCTGGAGTGCGCGATCTTCCCCCTCCCTGACGGGGAACGTTCGGGGGGGCCCGGTCCAAGGGGGAGCAAAATATAAACCTGCTTGGAATCGGCGGCATGTGCCAAGTCATCGGCGCCACGGTAGGCCCGATGGGGGGCAACCCATGGCGCTGGGCGGGGAGGGGCACGCTGGCCCGGATCGGCGAGGGCTGGGCGAGTGGGGGTCGATGCTTCTCCCCCCGAGCCACGTCCCCCCCCCCCCCCTGTCGTCGCTCTTGACTCCGTTGTCTCCCCCCTCCCCGCCGTCCTCCCCGCAGGAGCGTGCGACCCGAGTCCCATCCTGGGCATTCGGCTTCCTCACTGCCCGTCTTCCCTCATGCCTTCCTGCCGTCCTCTTTCACACCTCCCATCCTTCCCTCCTTCCTGCCTCCTGCCCTTTCCTGCCCCTCAAGCACAATCGGCCCGAGCCCCATGCCTGAACCTCCACGCCTCATTCAGTTCCACGTGAGCTTTACCATTTTCAGCCGCGTGGTAGTACTGGTATTTGCGGGTCGGAGTCGCCTGTGGTCAGCGAGCTTTTAGCCCCCATCCTGCTGCTGGAGGTGTCGGATAGTTGTGCGTGCATGGATCAATATGTTGCTCATGGGAGGAGGTAGTCCAATTCGGTTTCACGCTGCTGCTGAGACCTGGAAGAGCGCAGAGGAGCATGAGGTGCATCCAGAACGGTCAGGGGATTTACCGAAGTCCTGTGCCAAGTTGTGGGGCTGTGATGGTTCACGATGTCTGTCGCTTGGCGGTGGCTTCCAGGAGTGCGCCGTGCTGCTTACAATGTCATCGGGTTGGGCCGTTGTTGCTCTCATTAGCTATATTATGGGAGGCTGCGTTTGCCAGCGGTGGTACGTCGAGGAAGTCGTCTTCCGGTGCGTGCACGGGCTTATCTGTGTCGTCTCGTTGCTCCGCGCACACAGGGCACGTGTGCTGTAGCATCTGAAAATAACACTGGGATGGTGCTCCACTCCACTCCACTCCGCTGCTCCCTCCCTCCTCCTTCCCCTATTTCCCGATCGGGGATCAGTGGGCAATTGGTGGGTCTAGGCGTCTCCCACTTGGCCTATCGCCCCCTGACGTTGCCCCTGAGCCTTGCACCACAACTGTAGGCCGTAGCCACCGTGCTCCACAGCGCTCCACTCCACAGGAGGGCTCGCATCGTCCGCCAGTGGATGCTGCGGGCCTCCACGGACGGCATGACCCTGGAGGCGGAGCTTGACGCCGCCAGGAAGCTGGCGACAAGGAGCTCCGTGTGGGAGGACCCACCTCCTCCTCCACCTCCTCCCCCCCCTCCTCTTCCTCCTCCTCCTCCTCCTCCTCCTCCTCCTCCTCCTCCTCCTCCTCCTCCTCCTCCTCCCCCTCCTGCTGCTGCTGCTGCTCTCGCTCCCCTCATGTCTCGACATTCGCTCTCGGACCGAAGACAGCTGAGCTCGAGGTGCAACAGATCGGCCACGTGTGCTGCCACCACGGAGGTCTTGGGGCTCCCCGTGCCCGCAACTTGTCAACGCGGATGGCGTGACTGCGTCCCCGTCGCATGCGTCACGGATCCATTGTGCGGGGGTCTGGCTGTGTCCTCTCACATCCTCCAGGCTTGGTGCTTTGCGGCAAGTGTGGGGGAATTGGCAACAAACAAATGCGCACTCTGGGTAAACCGTGCATTCACGTTTTGACATCCACGGGCAAAACACTTCTGGCCCGAATTCGTCAAGGTTTGACCCCGAAAGTTCTCAGCCGCGCCGAGAAAGCCTAGCGGGTCCAAGAGGCGTACAGGTTGATCATGAATGGCATCGCCTCTGGATCACACTCCTACTCGTACTCCTCCTTCTCCCCTTCCAGCTCTTTCCTTCGCACCTATTCCTCCTCCTCCTTCTCTTTTTCCTTCTCCTCCTCCTCATCCCTCCTCGCCCTCCTCCTCCTCCTCCTCATCCTCATCATCAAGCAAGGATGGACGGCCGCTCCTTTTTCAAAATGTGGCTCTCGCCTTTACGCCGCGTGCATTCGTGGCACACGTTTGCAAACATTCCAAATCTCCGTATGGTTGAAGTCACGGGAACCGTGCTTTGAAAAGCTTTAGGAGTGATAGTCCCAGGAATGATTCTGCCACGATTTAGGAGGGTCCGGACGCGACAATCTCGCAGATTCGCGGCGTTGGGGTCTCAAGCATGATGTTTTGGCATCGCTGAAGGTTCTCAGACTGTTGTCTGTCGGTGGAGCACTTCCCGCAACCCATGAGCATACATTACAGCAGGGACCTGTGACGTGGGGACTTGGAGGGAGGTTGTCATGCAACATCGTCGATGCGTCGTGGGTTTAGAGTAACCCCTCCTCGAACTGGCCTCCCAGATGGAGTCCCAGTGGATGGGGTCGGAGGGTCGCGCCACATCGCCGATACATCTGCGATGCATCGGCGATGCACAGGCGATGCATCGTCGACGTCGGCGATGCAACGGCGACGTCGACGCGCAGCAAGGCTCCGCAGCGAGCCGCATCGGCGAAGCATCGGCGATGCGTTGCCAACATCCGACCCTAGACTTGTCCTCCTCCTCCCCCTCCTCCTCCTCCTCCTCCTCCTCTCCTCCTCCTCCTCCGCCTCCTCATTCCTCTCCTCCTCCTCCTCCTCCTCCGCCCCCTCCTCCTCCTCCTTCTCCTCCCTCTCCTACAAAATTCCTTCTGCTCCTCCTCCTCCTCCTCCTCCTCCTCCTCGTCCTCCTCCTCCTCCGCATCCTCCTCCTCCTCCCCCTCCTCCTCCACGTCTGCCTCCCTCTCCTGGGGCGACAGGGGCTCGGGCGCGGCTCCGCTGCAGGCCGCGGACCTTCTGCGTCTCCGCAGTGGGCCCATGGCTCCCCGCGCCCTGCCGGGCGGGCCAGCAAGCGGCGGCGGCGGCCAAACTTTGTTGACCCGCGGGTCTTGGGCGTGGCTTAATGGGGGGTACCTTTTCGGACCACCCTCACCAACCCCCCATTTATGACCCCCCCATTACGCAACGCCCAAGGGTCGAGAGGGAGCCTCTTCCGGTCGAGGCTAAGCGGAGGGGCTAACGGAGTTGTGAAAACAGAAGGAGGGGCCTCACGTCAAGGCCAAGAGAGGGCAAAGCCCCAGGATCACGGCGGCGGCCAAACATTCCACGGCGACGGCCGCCCGCGGCGTGGGCGGCGGCGGCGACGACCCGCAGGTCGGCGATCGACTACACGTAAGAGTGACCCTAGGCTAGAGTGACCTTTGGTGCGCGGCTTCAGGGGCGCCCGCGGGAGCCCAACGCAATCTCGCAAACCAGCGTTGTTGCGCCGCATCAGCGATCGGCGGGGCGCCACTCGAAAGATTTCTTGTGCCAGCGGGCAAACGCGGAATTCCGCCGATCAAGTTTGAGCGCCCCGAATGGCATTTCGATGGCGCTGCGAAAGCTGACGCTGCCGGGGGCCACCGCGATGAGGTCCGGCACTGCCCGGCTGCATCCCAATCCGAGAGCCTGGGATATGCTTGAATACTTTGGGGTAACTTATAACCGTACAGATCCCCATTGGTTCGAAATGCACATTCAAACATATTCAAAAACATACAAAGATATCCAAATATATCGAAATATATTGAAACCAAAGGTTTTGGGATTTGGGCTGTGATTCGGGACTGGTCCTGGGCCAGAACATGTGCCGACTGGTCGACTGGCTCACTCTGGGGTAACCAATGCGAGCTGTAGGGTGCGACGCGTATGCGTTGCTGTCGATTGCAAGGGGCGGGCCCAAACCTGGAGCGCTCAGATGCGAGCGTAATCACGCGATGCGGGTGCCGACGGGTGCCGACGCGAGGTCAAGCTGCTCATTCCACAAGAAGATCAAGCGACCCCCCTTCGGGCCAGCACCAAAAATCACTGCGGCGAAGAATCACTCTTACGTGTAGTCGAGGCTACACGTAGGAGTGATCCTATGGGCAAGGAAGACCTTTCTGGCGCGACGTGCGGGGGCCGCGGGGAGGCCCAGGTAGGAGCGCGCAGGACGCTGCTCTCGCACACCATTGAGCCATCTGGTGACTCCGGTGTGCCCGCGCCAAAAGTTGGGTTGCATCCTCGGGGACCTTGTCTGTCCTGTCGCGGCCCTATCCGTGTCGAATCCGTGTCGAATCCATGTCGGACGCGTCGGATCTTTGTCGAATCCGTGTCGAATCCGCGTCGACTCCACGCCAAATCCGCGTCGAGTCCGCAGCGAGCCCGCGTCGGGCAAACGAAAAGACACCAATATTTGGGGACAGGCGAGGTCCCCAGATTTTGTTTGCTTATTTCACTATTCGTTATGATTTGTCATTTATTGTTTATGTTTGTTTGTTTTGTTTTCTTTGTGTTTCATCTTTTTCTTTAAGGCGAGGTCCCCAGCAAATGCTACGTAACAAAAGGTCACTCTGGAGAAGGGTGTTTCTTACGTGCAACCGACCTCAAATCTAGGCGGAGCAACCTTTTTCACACCGGGCGTTTCGCCCGGTTTCGGACCCCAGGGCCATCGCAGGTCGATGCGGCTCGAAGAAGTGCCGCAGAACGATGGGGTCTGAGGCTCAGATCGCAGTATTTCTGGATGTGCCCATTCTGTCGCAACGTCGGATCTCAGGCGACGGCGGCGTCCTCCCCAGTAAGCATGGGACGACCAAAACAACGTTGTGCGTGTTCGTTTAGTTGTCTCGTTGTGAAGCGCTTTGACACTGACACGGCATGCCTGATCGCCCAACATGGCGTTTCGGCGCAGAGGCAAAATCGCGATTGACCAGCAGTGGGCCCGAGAATGAAATCGAAAACAACACGACAATGGTATCTACGAGGTCGCCATAACACTGTTTTGGTCGACCCCTCTGAGGGAGCCACAAAGGACGTGTGCCCCCGGCCGCGCATCAAGCTTGCCATAGCTCGGTCGTACATTGTTCGGCGTCGTGTTTATCCGGATTACCAACATGATGGGCCCATGTTCCACCACCACTACCACAGGTAGGAGGGGACGGAGGAGGAGGAGGAGGAGGAGGAGGAGGAGGAGGAAGACCTCTTCATCATCCCGTCTCCCCCGTCCTGCATGTGGTAGTGGTGACGGAACATTTGCCCATCACAACATGCTCGACGGTGGTCGGGCTGCCTGGCGCTGGCCTCGCCGAAAACAGAAACGTGCACACGCCCGAGCGATGCCGAGCACATAACCACACGGCCCCCCCCCCGGTCTGCGAGGCCGAACCCCGCGACTGACGCTCGCGCACGACCGCTCGCGCACGCACAAGACCTCCGCGCGCATGCACGCTGTGTGCTACAACTCCGCGCCAGCCCGCGGCGACGGCGGCGGCGATGTGTGCCCACGATGGCCGCGGTGCGCCGCCTGCTTCGCGGTCGTCGGGCCTCAGGGGACGGCGACGTCCTCCCCAGGGAGCCCACGCAGGACGTGCGTCCCCGGCCGCGTGTGCATGCATGCGCACGGTTCTTCTCCGGTACTCGCGGATCAAAAAAGTGTGCATGCGCACGGCCTCCCGCGCCGTCTGCGAGGCCGGCCCCAGCCCGCGCACGCTCGCGCACGGGCGCTCGCGCACGCACGGCACGCCCGCACTCGCGTGCACGCCCGGTGCTCCACGCCCCGAGCCCGCACGGCCAGAAAGGGGGCCCCTGCCGCCGCTCGGACATGTGAAGCTATAGCTCGGCGAGGCCAAGCGCCGGAAGGCCTGGGCCGTCTTGGAACACGTGGGACCATCTCGAGGAAAGCACAGCACGCACGAAGCCAAACGGCGCACGGGGAGCGGCCGTCCGCGCCATGGCAGAGGCGCTGCACGAGGCCCCCCTGCTCAGTCTGGCGCCGTCCTGCTCGAAAGACCTGGCGCCGTCCTGCTCTAAAAGCCTGCGACTTGGGGTCACAGTAACAGGCTGGTGTGCAAACAGAAGGGGGGTTTTCTTCCAGCTGGACGGAGGCGACGACGGTCCTGCGGCGGCGACGGCGGCGGCGATGGCAGCGGCCTCTCTCCTCCACGGCCCTATTCCCAAATCCGTGCTGCGGTGCGGATCGTCAGCGCGCCTCGTCTCCGTCGGCGTGGGTCGTGGTGCGTGCTGTTCTGCTGGGGTCCCCGACTTCCCGACCACGGCGACCAGCCACCGGCGGCGTCAGTGGTGGCGACGACGACAGCGACGATCAAGGGATCGAGGTTCGAGGGGTCGAGGATCGAGGACTCGAGGGATCGGAGGCCCGGGGATCGAGGGATCGAGGCCTCTCCGCCGCCCTCCACGGCTTCATCGCCCTCCTCACTCCTCGACGTCCTCTGCCTCATCGGCGCCCCGCCGCACCCCCCGTCGTCCCCCGCCAGTCTCCCCCAGTCCCATCCTACTCTGATCAGCCCCGAGGGCCACGATCATGCACCCCGACAGCGGAATGCCGCCACTCCATACTCAGCACCGAAGCCCCCAGTTTGGAGGTGCACATCCGCAGCCAGCGGTAGCACCCCCCCCCCGCGCAGTGGCTCACACATGCGCTTGGGCGCGGCCCTGCCCTCGGCGCGTGGTTTGTCTGTTTGCAAGTTGATGCCGCACGCAGTGTTTGCACCGGGAATGTTTGAAGGGGAACTGAGACACACAAATAAATACACACAAATAAAAAGATCCCCCATATTTTCCCATATTTTCTAAGTTTTTGTCTTCCCCCCCACTTCCCATATTTTCCCATATTTTCTAGGAATCGCCGATTAATTGTGTCTGTGTGTTTCTTTCCCTCCTGAATGTTTTGCTGCGGCCACGGAAGGAATTCGATAGGTGTGGCGGGTTGTCGCCTGGCGGGCGGCAGTGGCCGCTTCGTGGGCATCCCGTGCGCTGGCTGGGCGCGGCGAGGTCTCGGCTGCTGGGCGGCCGTGGAAGCCTCGCGGGCGCCCCGCAGCTCCCTGGATGTGTCGAGCTCTCGCATGGCGTCTGTGGGCGCCCCGTGGGCGCCTCTTGCCCAAGCTGGTTGCGGTTGGGTACGCGCTGGCAGCATGGACCACGGATCCGTGGATCTGGTACGTAGGCGATGGGGAGAAGCACCCACCCCGAGCTCGAGGCCGGTGCCGCCCGATCTGACCACGGCGGGACCTGCGGCCAATCCGCGCGCCTGGGTCAGATCTGCGCAGCCTCGATCCTGGGACCCGTGTGGCCAGGAAGGCACCGCGTTGAGGGGGAACGCGAGAAGGGAAAGACCGGACCAGGGAGGACACACCAAAACCTGGAATCGGCGATACCTCGACAATACATCGGCGGCAGGCCCCCGCTGGCGAATCCACACACTCCAGGGCGGGGTGGTCTATGGGGCCGTTACCGGCGATGCATGGGCGATCGGGGGTCGATGCGTTCCCCCACGGCGCCGATCCCCCCCAAGCCAGCCTCCCCCTGGCGGTGTCTCTCCGACGGTGCCCCATCGAGTCAGGGGGCCGTGCGGCCCGGAAGGCTTCCCCTCCTCCCGAGGCTCGGCTACTTCCGGCGGGCGCCGCGCTCTGGGCGCGGTGATCGGTCACCCCTTCTGCGACAACTCAGCGGACAATGGAGCCTCCCATACCATCTTGTTGGCTCGTCCGAATCGACGCTCACCGACGATGCATCGACGCTAATCGATGCTGAATCGACGCGAATCGACGCAAAATCGGCACTATCTCATCGACAACCAGACGCTCATCGACGCCACTGCACTCACAAGATATAATTACGAAAATATACAAGGCCCCCATATGATTTGCAACCAGAAAGCCCTCTGCCAGGTCCAAGCGAGACGGGCCTCAAAGATGCCGCAGGGGCAGCGAAGGGCCCCGCCCAAGGACGGCCCAAGATCGCCCCACGAAAGCTACGAGACGTTCCTCCCCCTGCACCAGGGGCGGGAGGGGGATGTACAGAGAGCTTTTTCTCACTCAGACTCAAGCAGAATTGCGTGCGTGGCAACACCCGCCGCCCAACCTCACCGCCGTGTCATTCAGTGCTGGGCCGGAAAGGCGTGCACATAACTTTCGGCTTGCGTGATATCCAACTTTCCCGAAGTACAAGGGGCTACCGAGGGAGCCCCCCCCTCCATGCAAGCAGACCAGCTAATCTCGAATATTCCAAACAATTTCTAAACCCGCACTGTCCACCGAAGCGGCCGCGAAACATGCTCTGTCAGGAAGGTCCGAGAAGCCTCGCGTCCGCGACCGAGACACGATGGCATGCCTACGCTAATATCTGTACGGGCATGATGCGAATGAACGGATAAAAAAGTCCGAAAGGAGGCGAGCAAGGAGGATGATGGCAGGGGGGGAGGCGGGGCGAAGTCGAGAACGAGGATGAAGAGGAGCGGAAGGAGCAGGCCCACCAGTGCCTCAAAAGGGGCATGAGGAGGAGGAGGAAGAAGGGGAGGTCGGCGTGTCGGCCTCGGAGTCTTTGAACTTGTCGAGGTGCTTGTCGAAGGCCGACACAGTGCCTGGCCAACAAGCGCCAAGACTCACAAGCAGACGCCTGCACCCACACTTGCACATACACATACGCACACACACACACACCTACACACACTTACACATACACACGCATATACGCACATGCGTGTTCCTGCAGCAGCGAGGTGACGAAACCGTCGCGATGCGCAACGCTGGGTGACAATTAAGCAACTAAACATCTGGAGTACGAGATGGGCAGGAAAGCCCAGACTCGAATCCATAAGTCGGATCGGCGATCGAAATCAATCGGATCGGCGGAAATCTGCAGCCGAATCGGGAAAACTCGAATCGGCGGACACCGGCAGGCCTGTAAGTGTCCATTGAGGTATAGGAGCCCGAATCGGAATCCCAAGTCTAATCGAATCGGAAGCCATCGAAATCAAATCGAATCGAATCGGAGGAATCGAAATCAGCCCTGGATGGGTGGACCGACTGGAAGAAGCCGAAACGCACGCAAAATGCAGTGCAAGAGGCGCACATGGCTGCCGGCGAGTGCCGAAGCCCGACGGCAAAGGCGCAGCGCGGGCGCGGCCGAGACGACGCCGCGACGACGTCGGCGCTGGCATCAGACCTCGCGCGGATCGTCCAGCCCTGGAACTAGAATTGGGTCGGGCATGTCCCCATACAGGCGGATTTGAAACGAAAGAATAAAAATAGTCCAAACTGATCCAACGTGGTCAATAAACAATCAAACGATCGTCCCCGGACCATTTTTCCCTACCTGGGTTCTGCCTAGAGAGGGTTCTTACTTTGTGGGCTTAAAGGGGCCGGGCAGTGCAAAGCGCCCGGGGCGGTTCCCCCCGGATCCGCCCCGCGGTTCCCCCAGTTGCGCCCCCTTAGCTCAGCGTTGCTTATCTCATACTAGCTTAGCCTAGCCTAGCTTAGCTTAGCTCCGGCTAGCCTAGCTTAGCTTAGCTCAGCTTAGCGCAGCATTCGCATATCATTAGCATTGCATGGCATATCATATCGTAACATAGCGCAGCATAACATAGCGCAGCATAGCATATCATATCATATCACATCATAACATAGCGCAGTATATCATAGCATATATGAGCATAACACAGCGCATCATAGCACCGCATAGCATAGCATAGCGCAGCATAGCATATCATAGCATACCGTAGCGCAACATAGCATAGCATAGCGCAGCATAACAACCTCAAAATTGAAGCGAACGCAACAGCAGCAGCAACAGCAACAGCAAAAGCAAAGGCAAGGCAGTGCAAACGCAACACCAATGCGAACTTGTAGATGTATATGTAGCTGTAGATGTAGATGTAGAGGTAGGTGTAGGTGTAGATGTGGATGTAAGTGTAGGTGTGGATGTATATGTCGGTATATATGTAGGTGCAGATGTAGGTGTAGATGTAGATGTGAGTCTCGCTGTTGATGTTGGTGTAGATGTAGATGCAGGTGTGGGTGTTAATGTAGATGTCGGTGTAGATGTAGATGTTACTTTCCTAGATGCTACAACTCCTAGGTAGGGTCGCACTGGGATAAGTAGACTGTTTGTGAACACTCCTCCTGTAGAGGGACACGCCCAACCGAAACATAGAAGCAAAGACAACTGCATACACATAAGCGTTCGGACCTCCACCCCAGCGCCGATCCAAGGCATCCGCGCGGACCTCCATTGTTTTTCGAATTAATCCCACCAGCCCTTTGGGCGTGAGTGGTTTAGCGAGCTCTCTCTGTTCTCAACCCCCCTTCTTCCCCTTCGGGGAGGGGTTTACCCCTCCCCCATACCCCCTCCCCCTGGACCTGGAGAGGGTTCCGCGGGTCGTTGGAGGGGTCTGTTCCGACTCCTGGGAGGGCTAAAAAAACGACGACTCTCACGAGGATTCTGGCCCCGACGGGGGGCGGAGATATGCCCTTCTCCTCTTCTTTGAAGCCAAAACCGTTGATTTTACTACGGTTGTGGCCCCATTTTGGCCTCCTGAGGGGGCCGCGCTCATCTTCCTTCATAGCAAAACCATTGATTTTACTAAGGTTTCGGGCTCACGTTGTCCTTCTCAGGGGGGCAGCGCTCCTTTGCGCTTCAGAGGAGGTCGCAAGAGGCCCCCAAATGGCCCCAAGAGGCCCCCAGGAGCCTCCCAAGAGGCCTCCGAGAGGCCCCCAAGAGGCCCCAAGGCCCCCAAGAGGCCCCCAAGAGGTCCCCAAGAGGCCCCCAGAGGCCCCACGAGGCCCCCAAGAGGCCCCCAAGAGGCCCCCAAGAGGCCCCCAAGAGGCCCCAAGGGGCTCCAAGAGGCCCCCAAGAGGCCCCACGAGGAGATGCCCCCAAGATGTCTCCAAGAGGCTAGCAAGGTTACCAGAGCGTACGGGCGCTTCTCCATGACTACGGAAGCGACTGCTGGTAGACGGAAGCGATTGCTGGTAGGCGGAGTTAAGCTCACAGCCACACTGCAACACTGCGAACCAGAATGGCAACAGCGACGACAACGCTGGAGGAAATATAGACTTGGGCCTCTCCTGAGAGCCTTGGTGGCCTCGTGGCGAGCCCTGGGGGCCTCTAGGGCTGAAGTGTCGTCGTATGATGTTGTGTGGTGTCGTGCGTAGAGGTTTGTAGTGGTGAGCAGTGGTGTCTAGTGTGGTGCGGTGCGGTGTGGTGCGGTGTGGTGCGGTGTGGTGTGGTGTTGGTGCGGGGTGGTCTAGTGCGGTGCAGTGCGGTGTGGTTCCTGAAATCTCTCCTTTGCTGATTCCTCCGATCTCGCCTTTGCTGCTTCCTGGTTCCTTTTCAGATTCCTGTCGCGTTTACTGATCGTGCTGGTATGGGTTGAGTGGCGTGGCGTGGCGTGGCGTGGCGTGCCGTGGTGTGGTGTGGTGTGGTGTGCTGTGGTGTCGTGTGGTGTGCTGTGGTGTAGCCCGCTGGCGGTCTCTAGATCTCACTGCACAACTGGCCGGGCAGGTTGCTGGATGGGCGGAGCTTAGCTCACTGCCACTCTCCGAACTATGCGTTCAGAGGGAAACCTGCCCATCCGTGCCGAGTTACGCTCACTGCACAACTGGTCGGGGGAGAACGCTGGATCGTCGTCGTCGTCGTCGCCTGCATCGTCGTCGCCGACGTCGTCGTTGTCATCGTAATCGTCGTCGTCGTCGTCGTGGTCGTCGCCGTCATCGTCTGAGGCGTCGCCGTCATTTGAGTCGTCTGACTCGTTCACGTGTGTGAAACGACGACGACCGCCCTCTGTCTTCCCTCCCAACACCTTCTCTCCCTTCTCCTCCTCCTCGGACTCGTCCTCCTCCCGCTCCCCCCACTAGGTGGATGTACAAGGCGGCAGGAGGACATAGGAACAGGGTATATATATGCGAGAGCAGGCAGAAATACGCCTGAAAAACACGACTGCCGGCATGTTTCGCTGGAGTTGCTGTTTGGGGATGGGCTGGTGGGGATACGCGAAGCGTGAAGAATTCTTCTTCGTAGTTCCACGGTTTCTCGTATTTCATTGTTCTTCGTATTTCATTGTTCTGTTGTTCCAAATGTGTGTTTATATCAATGTTCTTCGTATTTCCTCTTCCTGCTCTTCTGAGGGCAGCCAGAAGGAGGGGACTGGCTCCGGGGGGGAACATGAACCTGGAATTGACCACACGGCGGAACTACGAATATTGGCAACATAAGGGTTGATATTGGCAACATAAGGGTTGATAGTTTTTGCGCGCGCGCGTGCGAGCGCTTGTGTGTTGCATGTGCCTGGCGTGTACTTATGTGCTTGCGTGTTTACGCGGCGTGGCATGAGTGCTGGGTTGGTGCGTGCAGGGTCTCAGGTCTCGCGTCTGGGTTGCTCCATGCAGCGTTTTGGATCCTCGGAACAAATGCCACGTCCAGCCTTTGCTAGGGTGTCGGGGGGCGCGCCCGTAGTTCTCACCGGCCTACGCCTGCTCCCGGGGCCGCGGTGCCGGCTGTGGCCGCCAACCACACCGGCACGTCCATAGACCGCCGAGTCGGACGGGAGCAATCCTCCTGCGCCTGGGGTGCAGCGTTGTGCTGGTTTGGCGCCACCATAGGCCCAACTGTGCCCAAGCCACCCGGCTGGGCCGCGGGCAACGTCCCTGGAGCGCTCGAGGGGGCTGGCGGCAGAGAACGCGTGGTTTTGGGTCGGCGCCCCGGGGGCGGCCGACCCCACGGCGGGGGGGCGTCTGGGTTCCCCTCGGCCCGGGCGACCCCTCTCGTCGCCCCGTGTGGCCTTGCGCGTGTTTGCGGTGTGGACCTGCCTCCCCGGCTTAGGGAGTCCTCTCTGCGACATTCGTTTTTTTTCACACCGCTTTGGGTCGGCTCGCTACCAGCGCGGGGCGAGAGGGCACAGCTCGCTGCCATGCACGTGCGGGGGCGGTTCTGGATTCCTATAGGAGTCCACCCCCGTGCGTCCGGTAGCGTGAGGCCGGCTGCCGCCTGATCACCGGGAGCCGGCGTACCCGGTCTACGGGCTTGGCTTCGGGCCCCGCGGATCCTACGGTGTCTCTCCTTGTTGTTGCGCGGGTGCCACGAGCACCCAGCTGGGGCTCTCGACCCTTTCCGTGTCTTGGGCTGTCCGAGGTTGGGGGGTGGGGGGAGGGCCGGGAGGGGAGGCGGGGGGGAAGAGGGCCTTCCGAGGGTGCTTCGCGTCCGCAAGGGTGCACGTGTGCCGCCGTCCGTCCGCTGGGTTCGCCTGTCAGCTGGGTCGTCGTCGCCCGTCCGCGGGTCTCCCATTTGCGCCGGGAGGCGGCCTTGTACCGTCTCCTAGGGGAGGGGGGCCTTGAACCCCTGGCGACGTGGGGCCTTGAACCCTTGTCCTGGCTGACGGGCGAGCCAGTTTGGAACGAGAGGCCGAGGTTGTGGGCACTACATGTCACGATATTCGCACGCGGAGGGGTGCGCGTACGGGGTCGTTGTGCGAGGGCGCAGGACGTGTTGTGCGTATCTGTTGTGTGTGTGGGCGCGTGTGTGCACAGGGCGTGCTGTGCGCCCCGGTCGCCGTGCTCATCGGACTTAAGCGTGCCAATATTCGATTTCCCACGTGTGCCTCTATCATCGGCATGTTCTTCCAGGACGGGCGCCGCAAGGTTGGATATCCCGTTGTTGCGCCATCATGGTACAAGGTTGATGGTCGATATCCCCTGTATGGGGCTCTCGTTCTTGATTCCCCAATCAATGCTTGCACTTAAGGGATCCTAGCGGATTTAGAACAGATTGGCAGTTGCGAATTTGTCGGGCCTCCTACTGATTGGGCTTTCTCTGGTGTAAAATTGGACCTCTCCGCCTCTGTCCCCCCCGGTCTTCTCTCCCCCCTCACCTCTACTGCTCTGGGGTTCTTGGGGGGTGGGGTCCGCCGCGGTGGGGCAGGGGATCGGGCTCCCCCTCGTGCCTCTCCCGGTGCGGGGTCCCCGCCCCCGCCTTGTCGCGGCGCACTTCACCCTCTGGGGTTGGGGGCCGGGACCTGGGTGTTGCTGGAGAGGCGAAGGGAGGCCCCCCGGCCTACATCCCCTTCCACCAGTACCAGTACCAGTACCAGTACCGTCGACCCCTATCATTAGGATGCGCGAAAAGGACGTAAGTGCCTTGGAAGGCCATTCCGAAGCGTTCCGAGCGGGGCGCGGCCAGCGAAAGTGGCCAAGGATGGACCGACGAGGCAAGGAAGATGTCGGACAGGTCCTCCTACAGGCGGATCCTGGACGAGAAAAACATGTTCAAAACATACTCACGAATAGTTAAACGGTGGTTATTTATACAACAAGCCGTCCCGTGACTATGTTTCAACAATGTTTGGATATTCCTCCTGTAGAGGGACCTGCCCGACTGAAGGCAAGGCTGCAAGGGTACCCTCTGGAAAATGGCCCACCCTCACGTTGCTTACCAGCCTGGAACATGTCCCGGTCCCTAGCCCTGTGCTGGGCACCCCCTCATCACGATGCCAATCTTAGGGATTCCCCTATTTTTTGAAGGCGAATCCCTAAGATTGTCATCGCCTTCTGGCGTGTCAATCCCAGGGATAGGGACACGTTCCCAGACCCCCGACGTAATGATTTTTTCATTACGTCGACCCCCAGAGGTCCCGACCCTTTCCCCATGACCAGCTTTGCATCCTGAGTCGTTTTTTGACGCTCCCGAGGCCCGGTGAGGGCCCCTGGAGGCCGAAAATTAAGAAAAACCTCCCGTCGTGATTTTTTCATTGCTCGAGGGGGTCTGGGTTCGAAGCTGGTAAACTGCGGGCCGACCGTGCCGTCCGGCGACGGGGCCCCGATGCGGGAAGCGCCCGCGCTCCCTCGGGCAGGTCCGGGCCCCCCAGGCCCCCAGCGGCGCGGCACGGGAAGCGGAGGGGGTCGGCGCGGCTCCCCGAAACTGGGACACACAAATAAATACACACAAATAACTGGAGTCCCCATATTTTCCTATGTTTTCTGGGTTTTCGTCTTCCCCCCCACTTCCCATATTTTCCCATCTTTTCCTGGGAGTCGACGGTTAATTGTGTCTGTGTGTTTTT